ATCCCTTTCCCAGGAATGTTAAGCTAAGTGCTTATGATGGTGTTGTTCTTGATGATGCTGAAAAATACAGAAGAATTGTTGGCAAACTGTTATATTTGAATCTCACTAGGCCTGATATCTCTTTTGTGGTTCAACAACTAAGTCAATTTCTTAGTGCACCTAGAACTAGTCATTATGATGTGGCTCTTCATGTTTAAAAGTATCTCAAAAGCACTTCAGATGTGGAATTGTTCTATTCTGCAACAAATTCTTTGTCCTGTACAGCATAGAGTGATGCTGATTGTGGCAATTGTCTTGATTCAAGCAGATCATTAACTGGTTACAGTATATTTTTGGGTTCTTCCCTTATTTCTTGGAAGACTAAAAAGCAAGTTGTCGTATCAAAAAGTTTTACAGAGCTATGAGTCAAACAGCAAGTGAATTAGTTTGGCTTGAGAGATTGATTTTTGAGCTTGATGTACATATTGCTACTCCTATTCCTTTGCTATGTGATAACATGTCAGCCATTTTGATTGCCGAGAATCCTTGTTTTCATGAGAAAACTAAGCATCTCAAGACAAAGCATAAGATTATTGATGTGCATTACATCAGGGAGAAAGTTCAAGAAGGATTGATTAAAATCTTTCATGTTAAATCAACATTACAAGTTGCTGATATCATGACTAAGTCTCTGGGCACAGATCAACATCGCATTTTATCTTTGAAGCTGGGATTGGTCTAAACACCTTCATACTCATCATCCTTCCAAGATTGACAAGTTTTCCCTGGTCAATCTTGAGGGGGGCATATTGGATATTGGCTGATATTTATAAAGTTGGATTGATGACATGGCGAATCAATGACTTGGCATAATATGTTATGATACTATTGACATGTATATTTGTTATTAATTTGTTTTAAATAGAAAGTTAGAATAGTTTTAGGCAGCTTGTTCTGCAAGATACTGTAGCATAGCACATATATATTCTTCTTCTTCCTTGTAATCAGCTTATTTTGGGGTTTTGACCCAAGTAATAAATAACTTTCTAATTCCTCAAATTCTCTGTAGGATCTTCTTGATTTTTCTTATTTCTCTGATGTTCATCAAACAACTACTTAATTAACAAAAAATATGAGTGTTTGGCAATGTAGTGGTTGGGGTAGCTTTTAGTGGTGGATGTAGTTTTTATCAAAAGTTAAAATTATTAGCTTTTGAAGATAGAGGTAGCTGCTGAAAATTTAATCTATAGTTTTAGGAAAATATATTGAGTTTTATATGTAACAACTAGTCAACCGCTATTCTCCGAATACTCATACGGTCATACCTAAATTACCTATTTTCACAGCTAACAACTTGTTGACATCTAACAGCTACTACCACAGCTAACAGCTACCTTTACAGCTATATTTTGCCGAACATACCATCAAGACATAATTCACATAAAATTTCTAAGATAACCTCACACCATATTAAATTGCAATATGGAGAGGGGGATGGTTTGTAATGTAATGCAATTTAGATAGCATTTGAACACCCAAAACCAAAAAACCACGATAACTTGCTTTGTCAAAAGTTTAAGGACAATTTAATTAAGAAGTAAAAAAGAGAAATCGTATAGGCATGATTTATTTTTTTTCTTTTGGAGGCCAAATATTTGCTTGGTGACATTGGTAACAAGACATATAAAGTATGATGCGGTGAGAAAGGTTATGCACAATCCATAACGAATGAATAATCTTTGTTTTTTTTTTGGTAAAAAAATTCAACAGTAGTTTAATTGTCTTCTCTTATATGTTACATTAATGTCACAATTAATTATATTTCACTTTTTTTTAAGGTATAGTTTCTCTATAGAGTATTTTGTAATAAGCTACTACAAAGACGTAAAACTATAACTATGTCATACGCAGTAGAAGATTAGAAATGACACTCAAAAGTTATACGAAGTGTATAAATATTTATTTTAGTTAAAAATATTAACTTCAGCGTGTTTTGTGTCGATTGATGTGGCCGCTTGAAAAACAATAATGTAAATTCCTACGACACTGATTAAGTAGCCCTGTAATACTAACCGAATAACTCCTATAATACTGACTAAGTAATTTAACCCCTACAACACCAACGAAATAACTCCTGCAATACTGACCGAGTAACCCATACAACACTAGTAATGTAACCCCCATGATAGTTGTCACTGTGTGGCCAGCCACATATAAGAATTTGTATATACACTTTATGCTAGAGTTATTATAATTGTAAGTGAGACAATTAATTTTTAATTAGTGACATTCTTCATTATGTTATATTTCCTCCATTCTCTTTTAGTAACGGTGTTTAGACTTTTACGCTTGTCAATATATAACTAGTTTTTTGGCCCGTAAAGGCTTATTTGGTATTTTTGAATTTGAATATGCATTGGAAATTGATGGATGTATTTTCTGTTAAATAGAGTTAGAATTGCATTGAGAGATAAGGGAGGAAATACCAATAAATTATTATGACATGGTATAATTTGCAACCGAAAATATGATTAAAGAAATATAAAGTCTTAAAGTTTAATTCAAAAATAGGTTACTATTAATGAAGGGATAGGAAGGTTAAGAGACTATAATTAAAGGCAAATGAAAAGGTTGAATTGAAAGGGGAAGTGGAAGATAAGATAATGTAATGAAAGAGTTAAGTCAATAAAAACATGTGACACATGTAATATATTGAAATGGGAAGGAGATGGGATAGCGTAATAAAATTATGACATGTGTCTTTCCAGGTTTGTGTTTTTAAATACTAAGTGTAGATAGATTTCAATCATTACAAAAAATTTATTTTGTAAAATTATAAATCGAGATGAATCTAACGGATTCCGCATGACTATTTTGTCCAACTTATAAATCAATAAAGATAGTCACCATACGAATGTGAATTTGCACCCAAAAAAAAAAAAAAAAAAGACAGACTATAAGAATATGAATAACGCAAATTTTCAAATGGTGTACTATGAGGTAATAGTAGACAGAGGAAGTAAATTATTACCAAGTTCAATTTTTTATGTTTTTTTGTTTTTTTTTCTTTCTTTTTTTTTTTTTTTTTTTAATGTAAAACCTATTGACTTTTTGCACTATATTCATATAATCCACTTTGACTAATATTAGTGATTCATATATAAGAAAAAGTAGTCTTATGGATACCCGTTGGAATCATCTCAATGATTAATTTATTAATATTCCATTATTATGATTTCTATTTATTGACAATAAAAGATATTAATGGTGAAAGTTTGCCATTGAGATACATATGTCCTTGAGAAATGTTTCACTAAAATCGGAGGGAGTGCCGAGTATCTATTTTTTAGTCCGGCAAACTTGTATGTAAATTATAATGGAGTATATTCTCACTTTTTTTTTTATCACGCGATTAGAAAGCTCGTTTTAGGACTTTGGTCTTATTAAATTAAATTACTAAAATAGTATTCACTTGAAAAAAATTTCTCAAAATAGTGTCCATATAGGATTGGAATTTGGACAACACAAACCTATAATTTTTTTTTACTTCGTTTTAAAAGTCTAAATAAAAGTTAAATTATTGGAGTCTCAAAACTAGTTCTCTCGGAGTTTCACTTCACTACTATTTCAAACATTAATGTTAGACGCAATATCGGCAAGGAAGCATAGTCAATCTGCCGCATCACTACCGCTCTATTTTTCCTAATCAAGTATGTTTTCCTTCTTTTCTAATTAAAATTCAACTGAAATTCTGTGGGCTTACATGACAAGTAGATTAGAACTTTGACATCACAATGTAAATTGGCACACTGTAAAATTTGACCTAAAGATGAATAGATTTTGCCGGATTATACTCATAAATTTGACCTAAAGATGAATAGATTTTGCCCGATTATACTCATAAAAGGTTGGTGAATTAGATTTAACAAGTTGAATTTGTCACACACGCACCACTGTACTTACAAGTGCACTTAGACTCAGAGTTTCTAGCCATTATTATAAGCGTTAATGATAAATAATTTGATGGTATACATATTTATTATGGTTTTATTAGAAAAATTTATCTCTTCAATGAATTTCTAGCCATTAAGTTTTAACATCTAGCTTCGTACATATTTTTCAACCCTACATGGATATTGCTTTGAGAAGTATTTTCAAGTAAATACTATCTTAGTAATTTATTTATTTTTTAACACCAATTTGACAGTTCGTTCAGTATAATACTCCTTTTTTTTATTTAAATGCATCAATTTGATCGGCACATTTGTCGAGATGTAACTTTGACCATTAGTATCTTTAGTTGTCTATTGGTAATAATTGTAATTAAATTAAATTATGAAAATAGACATTGTGACTAATCTAAAGATATATTATATACAATAATATTTATTTATTTTATAATAGTAAAAAAAAAGTCAAACATAGTACGTGAATAATGCAAAAGTCAAAGTGGTACAATTAAAAATAACACAAATTTTTATATGTGGCTAGCCACTGTGTGTGGTCGGGGTTAATCAAGTTACTCGGTCAGGGGTTACTTGAGGGGTTCGGTTAGGGGCTACTTGAGGTGTTACTCGGTCAAGGGTTACTTGGGGGTTACTCGAAGGGTTACTCAAAGGGTTACTCAATCCGGGGTTACTTGAGTGGTTCGGTCAGGGGTTACTCGATCAGGAGTAACTTGAGTAACCCCTGACTGAGTAAGTCGAGTAACCCTGGGCACACGATGTGGCCAGCAACACAGAAAAATCCCCCTTAAAAAAAATGAAGAAGAAGAAGTAGAAAGAGGGATTACATAAGTATGTATTATATACATTGGATTTGCAAAAAATTCAATTTTTGGCAAAAAAAATTCAATTTTTGGCAAAAAATTCAATTATGTCACCTAGCTAGACGCTTATATAAAGGTGAACACAATGCAACTAAACATTACACATACAATTAAGTATATGCAATAATATTACAATAGGTACTACTAAAAGCTAGCATTCACTAAATAATTGTTTAGTCCATCAATCAGAAAAATGGATTTGCAGCTTAATCGTACGAATGGGTCACCACATCAAGAATTAAGCTATGCTCAAAATTCAGCAATCCAGGTGAGCATGCATTATAATTTTAAACCCATGGCTATCTATTACATTTACCACCACGGTACCTCCGTTTCTTTATGTCAGTACGATTTTCACAGTCGTTATATATATAATATTTATTAAACTCGTATAATCAATATCTATTGTAAATTAATACCTCCGTAGTTTAATATTTATTATAGTGAAAAGTTGTAGATGAAGTTGTTAAACGTAACAAATAATTTAAAGTGTAGAAAACATAGAAGGATCAAAAGGCTGTATTTCTTTATATTTATGTTTAGTCTTATTATTTTAATTTATTAATCATACGAGTTTAAATTTTTTTTTTTTTCTTTCCCTTTTTCTATAGGCAAACTCGATATCGAAGACGCTTCATATAACTAAGGATGCTTTGGAAGGATTGTACTCAACCATGAAACCCAAATGTGTAACAATAGCAGAACTTGGATGTGCATATGGCCCAAATACGTTGATGATAGTTCCAGAATTGATAAGAGTTACAATTGAGAAATTCAAAGAGAAAGAAGTTCCAAAAATGCATGTATTTTTGAATGATCTTTATTACAATGACTTTAATTCTATCAATAAAAGGTTATTAAGAAGAAAAAGTGTGGAAATAATGTGGGGTCTCTCTTCATAGTTAGAATATCAATAAAAAAAAGGTTATAATCTATATAGTAATTTAAGTTCAATAAAAATAATTTTAGCAAAAATATAGTTAGGCCTTGTTCACTTCATCTTATTCATATAATAATAAGACTAATAAATTTAAATCAATGAAAATCAGTAACTTAAAAAAACAAATTATATATAATAAGAAATAAGATCAATAAAAATCAGTTTAATTGGTAAAAAATATTTAACAAAAATAATTTAATTTTGAGTAAAATAATTTCAATTTATTAAAATTTATTTTATTTCAGCAAAATAAGAAATAGGGTCATTAATAAGACAATTTCGATTCAACAAAAATAAGGTAAAGAGAACATGACCTTACAATCAGATTTAATTCTTGTGAAATATAAGAAATGAGAACTATTTGATAAGATGTAGCGAGGGATCGGAGTAGTTTTATTTTACTACTAATTTAACATTATCACTTTCACTCACCCTCATTTGTCTTAATTAAAATGCAGATAGTACGTAAGACCCAATTTTTCTAAGCTAGGCTGAAGTGAACAAAACTAAACTATTAGGATAGAGGGTGGTGTGGTTGTGTTTGATTATTGCCGAACAAGTCAATAAAAAATAGAAAGGAGAAAAACAATACAGAAGATTTATTCCATAACAAGGACCTAAACATTATAATTAAAACACATTAAAGTGAACTGAACTGAAATGAACTAAACTAACTGAAATTGAAATTCATTCCATAATAACAGGGCCTAAACATTATTAACATTATGAAACAAAGGTACGTAGTATAAATCTACGAGCTAATGACGTTGAATAACGATAGGTACCAGATGATTTGTTCGATAAAGATGGGGCTTCGCTACTGAAGGGTTACATGTACATTGTAGAGACTAGCCCTCCCGAAGCTTGCATAGCATATCAAAAACAGTTTGCGACGGACTTTACTGCATTTTTGAAGTGTCCTGGAGAAGAGGTAATTGAAGGAGGTAGGATGATTATCAACATAATGCTTACTTCTGAGACTCACGGACCACATCAATTTTGGATTATCAAACTGATGAATATGGTCATACATGATATGCTTAAAGAGGTAATTACTTCACTTATATAATTGTTAATCTTATATTAACATTTTAAATTTTGTTTTTGCTTGTCATTTACGATTTCAAAATTCTATAGTAGTCGTTTGAAATATGACTACTATAATATTTTCATGATTATATGGTTCATAGTTGACATATTTTTCTCCTAATAATAAATTATATTATTTTCACGTTTTACAATGATTCATAATAAATTGGCAAGAAAAGAGAATTAATTAAAGTTGTAAATCATGACAACAGTTAGTATGTACTGTAACAAATATTTTTCCTTATGTATAATTAATCTATTTAAGTTTATCTTGTTATCGTCGCTTAAATTGTTATTGTCTTAAAAATAAAAATAATTATGTAGATAGCATGAGCTGATAAAATATATTAATACTTATATATATTGTATAGGGCTTGGTTGATGAGGAAAAAGCCAACAATTTTAACATGCCCTTTTACCCCCCTACCGTGGATGAAGTAAACAAGTTGGTCGTGGATCAAGGATCCTTTTTCATTGACAAGCATGAAACCTTTAGTGTATTATGGGATGTACCTATGTTGGAGTTGAGAGACGGTATTGATGAGCTTAAAAGAGCAAGGTTTGTGGCAGGGCCAGCCATAGCAGTTGCTGAGTACATGATATCAGAAAATTTTGGTGAAGGAGTTGCTAAAGAGTTTTTCCGGCGCTTTATTGAACTTGTACGCAAATTCTTGTCCGCTGGCGATAAGTTTTACACTTTCCATCAAGTCGTTTCTTTGATTAGAAAGTAAAGAAAAGCGTTCTAAGGTTGTTACTACCTCCGTTTCATATTATTTGCAACTTTTTGGAATATTTTATATCTCATAAATAATACCCTGAAGTTGCAAATAATATATGTAAACGGAGGTAGTATATTGATGCGGATCAAAGGCATCATGATTAGAATTTTAATTACTTTCTTTTATTTTGATTGAGTCATCTATGTCATCTATTAACCATGAGATTGAGTGGCGTCAATCTAAAAGTTGTGCATGGTTAAAAGATTTAGTTGTTTATTTCTATAATTAATTAGTATGTGTGAATTAGATTAGTTTAAGGAAATATGAATTTCTATCATTCTGAAATATTCTGGATTTAGGGCTTATAATTCACTAAGCAAACCTTGTATCATTTCGGAATATTCTAGATCTAGGGTTTATTGTTCACTAAGTAAATCCTACTTATGTTTCAAAAAAAAAAAAAAAAAAAGTAAACCCTAGTTACATTGTATGTATATATTTCCTTTTGTTCATGAATAATAAGAAGTTGGTTCTCTCCCCAATTTCTCTATTATTTTTTAATTCATAACAATTTATCAGCATCATCCTTATTCGATTGAGCAGACAAAAAAAAAAAAAAAAAAAAAGGGAGATCAATCATCAAGGTTAGTGTTATTATTATTACTAAATTATTTAGCATGCATTTCACCGCTAAATCGTTACAATTATGATACTATGATGGAGCTATATTTTAGATATGAGTGTTACTCCATGCAAAGAAAATATAGGGGTTTGCTTGTTGATGTGCTATTGTAATACCCCGTATTTTTATACATATTTTAACTTAAATAAGTATTTCTTAAAGTATTTAAATAATTTGAAATGAATTATTTATGGTGTTTCATTAATTTAAAAAGAATTATTTTAATTAAAAGTCTATTTTTAATTATTTAACAATCTTGAAAATATTTTATTTCATGATTTGGAAACATTGGGGCATATTATTTTATAAAAGGAAATTTTAAAGTCAATGAGTTTTTAAAGAAAGTCAAAATACAAGTTTGAATAGGAAAGGGATCATTAAGGGTAAAAAGGGGATTTAAGTCTAGGAGGATTTTAGAAAAGGGAGTATAAATACCCATCACATGGGCAAATTAAATTTTGCCCAAGGTGGAGAATACCCAAAGGTAACACTCTTTCTCTCTCCTCTTATTTTCTCTCTTTTTCTCTTACTTTTTCCCCTTCCCTTTATTTTAATTTTAATTTTTTTTTTCACACACCACCACCACCACACACACCACGGTCGCCGGCTACCACCACCACCACAGCCAGCCGCCGCCGCCAGCATAGGGCCGGCAGTAACAGCAGCCGTGGGAGGTGGCGCCAGCCACCTTCCCTTTTCCCCCTTGTGCGTGCGTGTGTTTCGTATAAAAAATAAAAAAATAAAAAAATTATTTTTGTTTTTAATCCTAATCTAGCCTTGATCTAATTAATTTTTTTGGGTTTTGTGACGATTTTTATGATGTTTGATAATAAGTATTTTGTATATAAATTTTCAGATTTGGTTTTGAATTAAAAAGCCCCAAATTATAAATCCTAGGTTTCTAAGTTTATGTATATTGATGGAAATTGTTTATGGGTGATTTAAATTATTGAAATAAGTGTTTTAAAACACAATTACAGCAATTTTAGATGATTTAATAAAGCGGAATTTTTATATATAAGCTATAATTATGTTTCTTGAAAGGATTTTTAATTACCCATTAATTGGGAATAAAAGTAAGGGTTTTAAATTAAATTTCAACTAGTTTTAGAGGGTTTATGAGTGATTTAAAGAGTGTATATATTGCTGGAAATTTGTGTGGATAGGTATTAATGCCTCTTTGTAATTTTGGTTTATAGAAGACTTCCAAGTGAGTGATTTTATTTAGTCGTGGCGATTTTGAGATCATATTCAAGGTACGTTAGCGTACTTGGTAATTATTTGAATATGTAGAAACATGCTAGGCTTTGTTTAATTAATTCCAAGTAGTATCATGATAATTGTTGGTTGGAATTTTTTGTTTTGATTGATGTTGATAAATGATTTGTGATGTATGAATTGTTTACAATGAATTGGTGATTGGAATTAATTATGTTGGCATGTTGATTATGAACCACATTTTTATTGTTGGCATGATAAAGAGCACGTTTAGTAAACTAAATGTTTAATTTGGTTTGGAATATGAAAAGGAAATTTTATTATGGTTCATATTTTTATTGATGCTATAAGCATGAGGAAGGAGCTATTTAAGTGTCCTAGTACACAAGACTAAATTATATTGCGGTGCCTATGTGCACTTAAGGTGTTATTTAGCACTGAGGGATAGGATTTGCGGCGCATTAATTATGCGTTTAAGGTGTCTTTGACACCGAGGTAGATTAAAAAGGGTTCAACAATTAAATGTATGTGGTCACTAAATATTCAAGAATTAAATTGGTATGTTTGATTGGTTGAATGAAGTATAATGTTTGATTGTGTTATGGTTTGAGAGTCATCACCAAGTATAATAATATGTAAACAACGTAAAGTGAAAGAGATTACGCACCAAAACTCTTGGAACGTATATACCTTGAGTATGGACAAATGGGGGGAGTTATGCGACTTTATATTTGACCATAACTTCTACTGGGAGTATAGGACGCTATATATTCCTTTTTATTTGTTTTATGCGCAGGACGTCCAGTCACATCATGTGACATTTGCCTACCCGGTTAGTTCTCGGTGTAGTTTACCCCCAATTTATTTGGGGCAGGGATTTGGTTGGAAACCCGTTCAATGCGTAATCAAAATTAAATGGACATTGGTATTTGTCTAGTTAAGTGTTGAATGTCTTGTATGCTTGTTTACAGGTGCAACAAGGTAAGTTGTGTGATGATAGGATGAAAGCATGTTAGTGTGTTTTATTACGCTTATGTACTCAACATTGTTGATTGTGTATTGTATGTTTTTTTGGCCTTGTCTTTACCTTGGCCCTACGACGACCCATTTCTAATGGCGAGTAATGGGGACAAGTAGAGAGAAGTTTTTCAGGTGATGAAGCATTTTCATGATGAGCATGAGTGAAAAGCGAATCATGCTTAGTTTTCATAGGAATATGATGTGTTTTATTTGCTTTGAATAATATTTACTTTATTATGCTCATGAGACTAACGTAAAGGTTTTCATTATTGTTTGGTTTTAAGGGCCTACGATGGTTCCAAATTGTAGGTTGACTTTGTTTGACTTTGGTTTGACTTTTGAGTTGACTTGTTTTGAATGGTTTTAAAGATAGTCTTCCGTTGTGTGTCTTTGATTATTGTCTTAGCTGTTTTCACGGTAGCAGTAATGTCTTAGATTTTCCTATTTCGTATTTTAAAAGGGAAAAACAAGTATTTTAAAGGAAAGGAATTTGTAGGGTGCTACAGCTATTCCACTGCCAATTGAATGACTGATGCGTACTTTATTAGTTTTATTGGATTGATTAAATAACCTTATTTCGTAAAATTTCCGTATATGCTGAATGTAATTGGCACCTATTATATTGCAGAGGTATAAATAAATTTATTCTCATTGAATTCATGATTATTATGTTTCACTATATCTACGGCATTATCATTGCTAGCTTATCTTTCAAAATAGATCATTTATAGGTATATTATGATAAGAGTGTCAAGACGATGATGTTATGTGTCTTAAATCAATAAATTTGGGTTTCAATTACCACCACTACTTTGAAACCCAAATTTATATATCTTTATTAATTAATTAAAAATTCTAATATGGTCACTCTTATTAAGACCATCACTATACTTAAATGTGATTGGCTAATTGTTTCTTTCCTTAAATAGTTGGTCAAACTCTTTTTTAAATTTTTTCTATTTTAAATTCTTTTCTATTTTCTGGAAATTATATTTTTCTTTTTTGAAATTATATTATTTTTTTTATTTTCGAAATTAAATTATTAAAATTAGTAATTAAAAAAATCATAAAATAAGATTAAATTAAAAAAATCAAAATAAAAAATTGTTCTTCAGTGTTCTTCGTGTTCTTCATGCTCCTTCAATGTTCTTCATCTATGGATGAATTTAACATCCAATTAATGACATCCAATTCTTCATGCTTATGCTCTTTAGTGGTACTTGCGCATCGATGGAGATAAAAAAATATAGCTAGATTCAAACACCATATTCGATATTTCAAGTTTTTCGAATTCCGAGTTTTAGCGCAATTGGGATTGGTTTTTAGTCCTTGAATAATTGGTTTTTATTGTACAAGATCCATCAATTGATGCAAAATCGCCGATTTTATGTAATCAAAATAAATTTTTTTAAGTTTTTTCAAGAATCTGAGTTCTACAGGAGAAGAAACCAATACAATTTTTTTTGCGAAACCTGTTTGATCTAAAAAAAACGCTTATGTAAATTTAAATCTTGTTTGTGTATAGGTAATCAACACAAATACAGATTGGACATTACCTGTATGAAACATCTCTATTAGTTATTAGCCACGACCATACGTTACTTTGGACATTACCAAGTACTGCTTTCTTTTCTTTTTTTTTTTTTTTTTTTTTTTGAGGAAAAACAATAGCTTTTATATTAAACGAGATCCAAATTTGCCAAAGTTACAACACTTTGAGGGAAAGAGTCTAAACGGATTAGTTTCGATTCACTACCCATTTCACCTCTAGCAACAAGATGGGCAATAGTGTTCCCGTTTCTTTTAACATGAGAGAAAACACAAACATTAAATAAAGCTCTGATCTTTAAAATGTCTGCAATCACCAAGCAGAGAGGAGTGATGTCGCCTCCGTTTGCTTCTACAGAATTAATCACTATAAGAGAGTCTGATTCAACCCAAAGACACCTGAAGTTGAACCGCAGCGCCACATTCATGCCGAACCTTACCGCCTGTGCTTCGAGAGTTGCCACATCAGACGCCACCACTCTTTTCGTAGCTGTTAAACAATTCTGCCAGCCTCATCTCTAATCACAGCCCCTAACCCAGCATTTCCGCCACCTGCCACATGAGCATCCACATTTAGTTTAAACATTCCAGTAGGAGGGCAAACCCATCTCGTAGTAGATAGAGAGGAATTCACCACAGTTGTATGCTGCACTCTTTGTTTGTAAACAAAATGATCCTCAGACCACTTGCAGAAATTTGTAGCAAGCATCACAACATTTGGGCTGGATTCTTCAAACATCGCCATATTTCTACATCGCCACGCAGCCCAACACAGATTAGCAACCTTGTTCAATTCCTCCTTACCAATTCTTTCCCCCAACCAGAGCCACCTAGCAGCGAAAGAGTTCGTCGGTGCATCCTGCAGTAGCATTCTACAATCACTATACTCCCATATATCTCTTACATTGGTGCAATCAAATAGCACATGAATAACTGACTCCTCTGCATTACTACATAGCCTGCACGTTTCCCCTTGAAAGATATGCCTCTGTTGAAGCCTTTCACCTACAGCCAAATTTCCTTTACATGCACTCCATAGAAAGTGCTGGATTTTTGGGGGAAGCCTCATTCGCCATATCAAACTCCAGCAATTGTTTTGAGCCTGGTTTGTTGTACTCGTACTACCAAGGGGGCGAGCTAGCCAATAACCAGATTTTACCGTGTAATACCAGTACCTTAAGTCAGGGCCCCTATATTGAGCAATCGATATAGGCATCACTTACTGCGCCTCATAGCCCAATACCCTCTCCAATTGTTGACAATCCCAAGTAGTCCCCTCTTCATTTATAAGCTCGTGAACCCAAGACACACTCGGATTATTTGCTGGACTCATTAAGCAACTAGGTTTCCCATTTCGGCTTATCCACTAGTCCTCCCAAATTTTTATACTTCGGCCATCCCCAACTCTCCACATAAGCCCATCACGCACCAACCCCTTAGCACCCCAGAGACTTCTCCACGAATAACTGGGGTCATAACCTCTGTTTGCTTGCATAATATCTGAGTTCTTGAAATATCGGGCCTTAAGGATTTTTCCCAGAGGAGTATTAGGATTTTGAAGCAATCTCCACACATTTTTTCTAGTAAAGTCGTATTGAAGCATTTAAGGTCTCTAAACCCCAAACCCCCCATAGATTTCGGTTTACATAAAGACTCCTAGTTGTTCCAGTGTATCTTCCTTCTATTGCCCTTCGAGCCCCACCAAAACTTACATAACATCGTATGAAACTCATCAATAACACCATCGGGAATTTTAAAGATGCTCATCATATAAGTTGGTATTGCTTGGGCCACTTCTTTAATGAGGACTTCTTTGCCAGGCTTTGAGAGTAACTTGTTATTCCACACATTTAAACTCTTCCATAATCTCTCCTTTAGTCTAGCAAAAATTTCTTTTTTTGATCTCCTAATAATAGTAGGCAGACCCAGGTACTTATTATGCTTCTCCACCTCCCTAACACCCAATGTACTAACAATTTCACCTCTTCGATCAACCGGCACACCTCTGCTAAAAGCAACATCCGTCTTATCTAGATTTACTTTCTGGCCCGACGCTCTCTCATACACCCTGATTATATCAGCTATAATAGAGCATTCTTGCGTTGTTGCTCTAGCAAACAGGAGGCTATCATCCGCAAAAAATAGGTGAGAAGTTCTAGGAGCCGATCTGCATACTCTTGTGCCATGTAGCTTTTTCTCACGCGCTGATTTATTTAATAATTCTGAAAATGCATCAGCACATAAAATAAACAGATATGGAGAAATAGGATCTCCCTGCCTTAGCCCCCTAGTAGGCTTCACATTCCCATACACCTCTCCATTCACATTAAAAGAAAAAGAAACCGTTGAGATGCAGTTCATGATCCTACCTATCCAACCATTCGAAAACCCCAACTTTTCCATAACCCTCTGCAAAAAAACCCATTCAACTCTGTCGTAAGCTTTGCACATATCCAGTTTCAGAGCCACAGACCCCCATTTTCCTTCCCCCCCCCCCCCCTTTCATGGCATGGAAAGTTTTAAAAGCTATGAGAGCATTATTAGTAATCATCCTGCCCGGAACAAAAGCACTTTGATTTTGAGAAATAATGTCATCCAGGAACGGTTTAAGCCTATTTGCCATAATTTTTGATATAATTTTGTAAATCACATTACAGCAACTAATAAGCCTGAAATCTTTCATATCTTTTAGTTCATTACATTTTGGGATTAATACAATGCACGTTTTATTCAACTCAGCCAACTCCACAGTCCCATTCCACCAATCAATAACAGTAGCAATAATATCCTACCCAACAATGTGCCAAAATTTCTGAAAAAATAAAGCATGTAAACCATCCGTACCTGGTGCCTTATTCGGATGCATTTGAAACAGTGCTCTTTTAATTTCATCTTCAGTAGGAGTAGCATCCAGGGCCGAGTTCATCTCTTCAGTTATACGGTGTTCAAGACCATCAGTAGCAGCATCCAGATCCTCTGGGGACTCTGAAGAAAATAGGGAGCCAAAATAATTTTCAAATATCTGTTTTATGCGATCCTCCTCTTCCTGCCATACGCCCTTTGAGTCATATAAGCCACTAATTCTATTATTTGTTTGTCGCTTAGAAGCCTTCCGATGAAAATAGGATGTATTACGATCCCCATCATGCATCTCATTTGCCCTTTCCCGAGTGAACCAATAGGTCTCTTCCTGTCTTTGCAATTCATCAACCTCCGCTGCTAAATTTTCACAGGTTTCAAGCATGTGAGCGTCCATTGGTAAGGATTGGGCAGCTCTGAGCTCCTCCTCTTTATTTTCCAGTCTCTTCTTACGATCCCCATAGGTCTTAAAAGCCCAGGCTTTCAGGCTTGCTGCACAGACACTAACCCTTTCGTGAATAGGTCTATTAACACCCATAGTCCAAGCATCCCTAACCACCAACTTGCATTCATCATTTGCCAGCCACATAGCCTCAAACCTGAACATATGCTTCTTCTTTTTCTCATTTCTTTGCGGCATTGTATCCAAGATAATAGGAGAGTGATCGCTAGTAATTCTTGCCAAGTGCCTCACCCCCGCCTTAGGGAATAATTCACACCAGCCCGTATCGCCCAATAAACGATCCAATCTTTCTCTCACAGCCGTTGTAATGCTCTTGCCCCATTGCCAGGTGAACGGACTTCCACTGTAACCAAGGTCGCGCAGGAAGCAATCATCAATGGTATCCTTAAACTCATTCATCCCGTTCTCTCTCCTAACAGCCCCGCCTTTTTTCTCACTCATACAGATGATTTCATTGAAGTCTCCAAACATGAGACAAGGAACTTCGCAAGAACTTCTCATATTCCTCATTAAATTCCAGGTCTTATGCTTATTCTCACCCTCGGGCCATCCATAAATTCTGATAGCTCTCCACCTTGTGATTCCCTGGTTATCCTTTATATCCACAACAAAGTGATTAATTGAAAAAGAAACAATAGCTACATCTACACCCTTCCACCACAAACTAATACCCCCTGCTCTTCCTGTACTACTTCTGCAAACTCCTTCTGTAAACCCACACTTCCCCATAACACTTTTCACAACATTTGAAACCGCTTTTGTCTCCATGATGAAGAAAATATTTGGCCTTTACCTCCAGCATAAATCCCGGAGAGCACTTACCGTCTTCAGGTTGCCAATCCCGAAAACGTTCCAACTTAAGATTTTCATTGTCTTTCGAGGGTTGGGGATTTCCAACACCCTCTACTTGAATATCACTGTTCCCAGTCTCATCAGTCATAGTAAATCTCCGCCTCTTCTCCCCCACACCCTCAACCATACGCTCCTCCTCATCAATATCCCCCTCCAAAACCCTTTTTCTATTTGATAACAAAGCCCCCTCACCATGAATTATCGAAGAGTTCTGTTTATAGCCCACCTCCATCCTCTCTACCCTTTTCCAGCCCCTACATTTTTTGTTTGGCATACTCCTCTCCCCCCCCCCCTCAGAACCACCCACCGCCTCATATATGATTTGGCTATCCCCCACCCCAGGCAAACCCATCACCCCCTTATCTCCCCCCCCCCCCCCCGCGATTGCAACCCTTATTTGCACATAAACTATCACCTTTGGTAACATCATACACCTCCTGCCAAGCGCCTATTTTTCCAGGCTCACAAATAGTACGGTTGGTCCCTGCCTCTCTATTGCTCGATACCTCCTCGCCACTTATCTCATCTTCACCCATTGATTTATTTACAGGTTTTGGTCGAAACACCATTTGATTTTTATTGTTGTCTAGAGTAGGCAGTAGCCTAAATTCTCTCTCCTTACTGCCCCTACTCTCCTGAGACCCTCCCTTCCCTTCATAGTCACTTGCTTCGGCTTTGTGGTGAAAAACAGGGCTTTTGCAGCACGGAGTCTATTATTTTCCTTTTTTTTTATGGCAGGTGCCTTTACGAGGAGAAGCCTTAAGCCAAAGTCCCCATTGTTTTTCTACTTCTTCTCCCTCATCATCCACCACAGAACAGTCTCGTTCCGAATGCCCAAGAAATCCACATAGAAAACAGAAATCGGAAGCCTCTCATACTTTATATGAACAGTTGTAGTTAATCCATCCCTACATCGAATTTGTTGCATTCGTCTCAAAGCCTTTGTTGTATCCACCAGAACCCTCACCCTCCTAGACAATCATCCTCTACTTCTAGCACCAACCCTATTTTCCCAGCAATCAATCGCACATCCGCATTCGACCTGCTATCAAAAGGGAGATTGTATAGTCTCAACCAAAAAGGGCAAAATTTAATCTCCACGTTTTTGGGTTGCTCATTTCGCTGCATTTCTTTTAACAAATAGCAGATGATTATCAAAAGTCCACGGAGCACCATCAATGACCTTCTCCTTATCTCTCCAATGAAAGAATTGTATAACGAATAGGTTATTTTCGATTCGCCGAAAAATCACACCTTTATTTAGAGCCTAAATTTGTGTGAGGATTTTTTGCATGGCCTCAAAGTTATATGCCCAAATTTTCAATAATTTTCCCACCAAAGATAATTCAATACAGCCCTTTGGGTCACTACTCTCCGCGTCACATAATTCCGCAACATCACCTTCTTCCTCCGTAATCTTCAATTTTGCCCATCGTTCACTCAACTCTTCTGCCATCACCAAAACATCCAAGAAAAAACCAAGAAAAAAGAGACGACCAAGAAAACACAACACTATAACCCAAACCACCCCTTACAAGGAGGACGACCACTTGATTATAATCAAGACCAATGACTCAATACACCAGACGTAGGAAACCCTAATTCCAGAGAGAGAGACTCTGTATTTAGGTCTTATTTACGCTCTCCTTTAGTGTTGTTTCCCTCCTCTCTACCAAGTACTGCTTTTTAATTCATTAATATTTTGTTATATTCTTAATTGATAGTGAATATGACTTTGGTCTTCACTAGAAAAATCACATTTCATGTTACCAAGCTAAGGTTTTATTTCAATGGTAACTTATATATCTACTTTAGCGGTTTTAATTCTGTAAGCATATACTTCAATATAACTAATTAAAACATCCACCTATATTCAATATAACTAATTAAAACATCCACCTTTAGAGAAATTCCATGGGCATATATAATCGTTTTAGAACTATTCATAAGGATTTGGTCATACTTTAAGCGACTATAGAGGCAAGGCAAGAGTCAAATTAACATTATGTGTTACATTGATATATTTGCCACATATGATTTATACCTAAGTACTAGATTGTTATTCAAATGAACCTTAGATGAAGAAAAATAGGTTTTATATAAACGGGTAATGACACAAACATATTCAGGATAAAGCATATTATACGTTCATAAAAAGACAAAGTGATGCGGTATCTTTTTCAATTAAATTGTGCATTGAATTTTTCTAATTAAATTCAAATTTTTCAACTGACCCCCTTGTTTTTCGGAGGTTAGTTTTTAAAACCTCAATTATATCCTTGACCAACTCTCACCCTTGTACTTAACACAAACACACACATACACACACAAAAATTGGATGTTCACAAAATCCCATTTCTGACGATTCATCTTCTAGTTTTGGGGGGTTCATGGTGAAATGTGGATGTGGCGTTCCTTCTAAGATTTGAACTGTGAACAAGCCTAACCATAATAGGGGAAGGAAATTTCGTGGTTGTGGTAAATTTCCGGTACTTTTTCTAAACCCATTTGTCATTTCTTAAATGGTATAGGGATGGTGATCTAATTTTAATAATTTTAATGGATATGAGTAAATGTAATAATCTCTCATTAGGATTACAATTACCAATTAAGGTTTTTTTATTTTTTATGAATTGCAGGAGGCTGATTATGGATTTTTCAAATGGTTGTATGATGATGTCGGTGGATGCGTCGAGTGTGAGATGATGTCAAAGAGGTTGGATGCAATTGAGAAAGATGTTGAATCTCTAACTATGAAGCTAAACAAAGTGAAGATTAAAAACTCACAATTTCATGAACAAATATGTGACTTGTGATTAGGGGATTTTTATCCACCAATCACCGTTTGACAAGTGGACCAACCAGGTTCCGCCACGTGTCCTTCACGTAGGCCAATAGGAGCCTGCCACGTGTCAATCACAGATACGTCCTCTACGGACCAATTGAGACACGCCACGTGTCCACCCATGCCAAATGGGAAAACCGGCCAACAAGGCCCAATCCTGTCTAGAGGCCCGGTCAGCCCTAGGTTTACCCAAAACCTAGAGAGTGGCACGCTTCTCAAGACTATAAATACTTAATTAATCCTCATTAATCCGGGGATCAGGCAATTAAGAGAGCAATTGATCAAGCAACTAATCTCACCTGAAGAACGGAACAGAACAGAAACATTACGGAACACTAATAACCGGCTAATCTCGCTAACAACGCAGATTACCAACATTAAACACTCTCACCTAGAGAGATCTTATTACTTTAAATTCCGTATTAATTACTCCTTAATCAGGTACTAACTTGACCGTTGGAGGCGGAGCTCTCAGGAGTCTCCGTTATTTTGCAGGTACAGGCGTCCGGTTCCAGTCTCGGAATTGTAACTCTCCCGCAGGACATCAGAAAACCCCGAAACAACTTGAAAGGCCAATTATGTCAATCAACTATGGAGGAGAACAAATATATTGCATACACAACTGTGGCTTTGTTTGCACTAGTTATGTCATGGGCTATATTTGTGGTCAATTATTAGAATGATTTAGTTAATGCCAAATATAATTGAATAAGATGCATTGTAGAATCACTCGTTGAGGATTTGGTTAATGCGAAATATTATTTGTTTGTTTATTTATGTTATAATAAAAAAATTATCATTTGATACATTAATTCAAATTCAATTTTGATAATTAAAAATAGATCTGAATTAAAAAGAATTTTTATCAAATAAATGTTATGACCTAGTATAATTAAGGTCATTAAAATACCATATCATGTATGGAAATTTTAAAAAAAAAATCATTTGATTTCTCAATGCATGCTTATTTAAAAAAAATATGCCTTCAATACATCGAGTTATCATAGGAAATGGCTTATTATCAGTACTTGCATTATTAATAACCTAATATAGGTGTAGATATAATGGAATATTTACATATCCTAATTAATTTCATATAAAATGGGAATATCAATTGATATGTTTCCAATAGTAACACATGTTAATTAACTTTGGTAACTAACTTTTCAAAATTAACTTTTAAAAAAATAATAATAATGTACAATGATTACTAAATTCATGTACAATTTACTGGTAATAATCTAAGTTTAAATTAGAATAATCCTTTAAAAAAATAGAGACCCTTTAATACTATAAAGGTTGTGAAAATAGAGACCCTTCTAATCCAAGGTATGAACAGAAAGTAATTTAACATCAAGTAACTAGAGTAAAATAGAAAGTTAAGGTTCAAACAAACCATACATTACAAAGACTTAATAGGTGACATGCCACCATTATACTTTTGCCACATTGGGCCAAAATACATGCAAGTACCTAGATTACAAAGTAATACTAAAAATGTCTTAATATCACAGTTGAGAAAACAAATATACAACAATCAAAGTATATAACTCCCTGGCATACATAGATTAAAAAAATAAATAAATAAATAAAACAAAAATCGGAAGTCTAATTATCATTTAATATGTCATTTCAGAATCATCATCTTCATCAACAGGTGCACCAGAAGCCTTTTCTCCTCTTCTAGATTTGTTGCCCTCATCTTCCTCAGCATCTTCCTAACAAAGAACAAATGTAATTCGGTTAGTTTTCTTGAATTGATATGAAAAACTAAAATAGGTAATGACCAGGATCACACTTAATCATTACCCATTTATATAAAAAAGAGATATGTTATTTAGTATTAGCACTATAGGTATAAAACTAAATACACTTGTTCAATTACGAATGACAAAATAGAGAACAACATGGTCACAAACATAATTCGCAATGTACAACTATGTATAAGGTCATTACGTATGGAATCATAGATGAATTTAAGGTTAACAATACCAGAATGTCAATAGAAAATGGAAAAATAAGAACGATGAAAAACAGGTAATAACCCGGTTTATACTTAGTCATTACCCATTTATATTAAAACAGAAAATTGAATCATGCATTCATCAATATAGTTAATATCCCAAAAACAGGTAGTCAATCACCAATGACAAAACAGAGAACAACATGGTCACAAACATAATAGGTAATGTACAAGAACATATAAGGTCATTACATATAGAATCAGAGATAAATTCAAGGTCAACAATACCAAAATGTCGATAGAAAATGAAACATAAGTACAATAAAAAAAGGGCAATAACTCAATTTATAGTTAGTCATTACCCATTTATTTTAAGACATAGAATTGTAACCTGCATTCATTAATATAGGTTATATCCCAAAAG